GTTGGGGTTAAGTCTGAAACGACCCTGGGAAGCAGACTCAGCCATAGTATTGATATGTCCAAACCTGGAGGCCTGGAGATGATTTGTCAACCAACAAGAGATTACGGTGTCCCCAAAACTCGATGGGAACAAGACTATAGCAGAATTTTACATAGACCTTATTTTTTATTGAATTTGGCTACTGTACACATACATCAGCACTCCTGGATATAGAATTCACCTACTATATACTTGAGAAAAACTAATTTACAAAATATTTTCAAGAGATCTATAATAATAAAGGTGTAATATGCTAATTAGACTGGACAGCCGAATGACCTACCAGATGTCATTCTGGATGTCCTCCCAGATTGAAGCTGCTGGGGCTGAGGCAGAGGCAATTAGGGGTGATCAGGCAGGCAGGCGAGCAGTTAGAGGCAATCAGGCAGGCAGGCAGAGGGATTAGGGGTGATCAAGCAGGCAGAGTGGTTAGGGGCAATGAGGCAGGCAGGTAGGTGAGTGGTTAGGAGCCAGCGGTCCCGGATTGCGAGAGGGATGTCCAACTGCCGATTTAGGAGGGATTGGGCCTAAACCAGCAGTCAGACACCCCCTGAGGTGTCCCAGACTGTGAGGGTGCAGGCCTGGCTGAGGGACCCCCCCTACCCCCATGCATGAATTTTGTGCACTGGGCCTCTAATATTAAATAAAACTTTATAGACATTTTCTTTTGCTCCCATCCTATTTTTATTTCAAAAAGATATTTATTGTATATTCTATGCTTAAGTTCAAAATCAGCTAAAATGTTTTAGAAAATAGGGTATGTCCCTGTTTAACTGAACAGTAAGTGCGAGGCAGCAAAGGCTGGAAAAGTTAGCAGACAACAGGCAGAGTTATGTGCATGAATTTCCATTAATTTGTGATTCAGTTTTCCATTGGAGAAAAGAATTATAAAATTAAGAAAATTTCTGCCAAACAGTTCAGTTTCTTAATGTGAAATGATATGCACTGTTGGACCAGTACATTAGTGAAGTTTTTAAGAGTCTTGCTCTGAGAAGTTTTTCATTTTATAGATTTTGCTGTCCTTATCAAGGTAATAATAGCTAGCACTCACTTAGTGGTTATGACATGCCAGATGCCTTGTAAGGCTTCATGTAGAGTAACTCATTTATTCTCCCCACAAACTGTAAATGTTATGATGAAAACTATTTAGGAAGTATATCTGTAATCAGCTGTACTTTTTACTTACTGATGCCACCTCTGTCTTCCTTTCTATAATAACAGCTAAATTGTCCCTTGTATTTTCATGAAATCCTCCTCAAAGTAACAATCAAGAAATTCTAAGGTCTTCCAAGCAAGGAAGAAATTGTCCTGTGAGAACTTAAAATTGTTAAAGAAAATGAGGTTATTCTTAGAATATAATAACATATTATTCTCTCTATATAAAAGGCTAATATGCAAAGTGTCCCCTTGGGAGTTTGACCAGGAGAACGGGAGTTTAATTGCTCGCTATGACATGCACTGACCACCAGGGGGCAGTGTGGAATGAAGGGAGGCCCCAGCCAGCAGCCAGAAGGCCCCTATCAGCCCTGATTGCTGGCCAGGCCTAGGGACCCTACCCATGCATGAATTTTGTGCACTGAGCCTCTAGTAATAATGTAATATAGTTAGGCACTCAAAAATATTGCTGATTGATAGAATACAAGACTTTTTTGTCAAGAATTAGAAATTTCTAGTCCCGGCTGGGTAGCTCAGTTGCAGGCTCGATTCCTTTGTCAGGGCACATACAAGAATCAACCAATGAATTTTAAAAAATATAACATTTCTTAAGTTGGATAGTGATAGAAATTTTGTCTTATATGAACATCATTTTCTCTTCTAGTTCCATCGCCAGGACAGCTTCAACACAGAATCCACAGTGTGGGTCATTTCCCTGTGTCTGTCCGACAGCCTCTTAAAGCCACAGCCTACGTGAGCCCAACTGTTCAAGGCAGCAGTAACACGCCCTTATCCAATGGCTTACAATTATATTCCAACACTGGAATCCCCACACCAAACAAAGCTACCACTTCTGGGATCATGGGCCGCAGTGCACTTCCAAGACCTTCACTGGCAATAAATGGGAGTAACCTGCCTCGAAGCAAAATTGCACAACCTGTCAGAAGGTAAGAGTCTCGTCCCTAATGTCAAGCCGTGTGTCTACATTACTTCATTTGCAGTTATAAATCAGAAGCTGCTCCTGCCACCATCTTGCCTTTTTCTTGGTCTCAGTCTAACCCTAATAGTAGGCCATGCTACCCTTTTTGGCCTGACTTGTGTCCCTCTTCCTCTGGAAAGTGATGGGTGTGGGTGTCCCTGTGTGGTCAAGCCTTCCTCTCTGATCTCATCTTCTTTCTTCCTCCCTCAACACTTCACCCTGATGCCCTTTTTGCTTTAATTCACCAGGAAAGCTCCACCTCCAGAACGCTTGCATTTTCCTTCCTTGAAGTTATTTGCAGGGCCTCCCCCCTCTCTCTCCCTTCTTCTCCTACTCCATTTATTAGTTTATAATGTGGTCTGACTCTCCTCACTAAAATGCAGGCTTCCTGAAGGGGGGTAGTTGATCTTTGCTTCATTGCTATATGTCCCTAATGGCAAGCGGTTTGTCCAGCACAGAGTAGGATTGCAAATGTTTTATGAGTCAATTTTCCTATCAAAATGAGCCCAACTGTGTTAGGCACACATGCATGTGCACACATATACCTTCCCATCACATGCATGGTTAAAAAAACATCTTAGTGATAATTAGTGGGTTTTGTTAGCTTGTGTAAGTTCATTGTGGTCCAGGTAACAGTCTTCCCCACTCCACAATTCTAGATTACTTGCAGGACACACTTTAAATGAGCTCATAGTCATGAGTACCCTTCTTGAACTTAGATATCCTGGAGTGTTTTATGGTCAAAAAAATTCTGTAAAAGTGGGTTGAGGAGAGCTTGGAAGATGAAACAATGGAGGCAGTAAATGTAAACAACAATTAGAAATTAGTCCCGGCTGGGTAGCTCAGTTGCAGGCTCGATTCCTTTGTCAGGGCACATACAAGAATCAACCAATGAATGCATAAATAAGTGGAACAACAAATCAGTGTTTCTCTAAAAAGTCAATGATTGGATTTTCCAATACTAACAGAGTCTTCTGTCAATTGGCAACATTGTATAATGCAATACAATTATATATATTAAAAACTCCATTTTATATAGACATATTAAAAGTTCCGTTTTATAT